TGGATAAAAAAATGATCCTTTCAACTCACTGAGTTCGATCACTAAGTTAACATATAGGTCTATGAATATCTGAGGAATATAAATTTAGCAATCTTTCATGACAAATCTCATGGTAATTAATATATATATATATATATATGGTGTCCCATTAAAGCCATAGAGTTGAACATACCATAATCATAATTAATTAATAAATAAAATGATGTAAACAATCTTAGGAAGTAACGTTGCAAAGCAAGTTTGACTTCTTCGTTTCATTTACAACGTTGACAACTTATGTTGTCATCTTGTTCTTCCCGGCCTCTCCTCCATGTTTCTCCCACTTCTAACAGTGTTGATTTTTGTCTATATGTTGTACTATGTCCATCTATCTTTATTCCAAGGCCTATTTTGGATAGGGTTACTGTCCAAAATAGGCTTTAGAATAAAGTTAAAAAATCAATAAACTGACTTTTAACTTAGTTACCAAAAGAGACCAATATTTGATTTATGTATTTATATAGCACAACTTCTATAAATAATCTAAACACTGCTACCCATTAACATGTTACCGAACAAGTTGAGTTCTCTATCCCATTTACAAGCTTCACAGCTCATGTTGTCATCCTTTTCTTCGTAGCCTCTCCATGTCTCCCTCACTCTGATGCTTCAAGTTTTTCCATGGCAACAGAAATTTGTTTGTTGGCTAACCGTATGATTGTTGATCTACATTGTGTGAATAATGGCTTTGATTCTTTCTCTGCACTCTTGCATTCTCAAGCTCTTTGAATTTGAAAAAGTATTGTTCATTGCATTTAGAAGCTTTAGGCCTTGTTTTGTTGATTGCCCACCCCTAGAGTGGAGGATCATACCGTACACGTATGAGGCCTCCACGTGTCCTTTCTCTGCTGCTCTCTTCAAATGCTCTAGTCCTGATTCCATTCTCATGTGACTGAAGTATTCAACTTATAATATTACAATTGCAGAAATTAAACACAAACGAGATGTTAAAAAAAATATTAGATGATTTTATTTCAAATGTGAGGCTAACTATACATAATTGAATTTAATATTATGAATAAATTTTTGAACAATCTAATTTTCTAATTTTTCTGTTACGTATATGAATGTTTGTTTTCTTTTCACAACTTAAAGTATATAAAAAAAAATTTGTGATTTTTAAGTTGAACGGTCAATTCAAAATAGACTGACATATAACTACTTTATATTATATGGAGATAGAGTCTAATATATTATTTGAATCATTTTTCCACATAAAAAATTATTCTAGATACTCATAATTTAATCATAAAAAAGTGTCTATAATATACATGATAGCTTGACAGGACCCACAAGGCCCTAAGAAATACTTTTATGTCTTAGTATCTCACATTTTTTTTTTCCAGTAGTGTACTCTTCGAGATGGTCGATGTCTCGATTGGAGAGCATCACTTATGGGAGCTATAGAAACTAGCCTCTCACATGGTCCAGTCTATTTCAACATCTATCCAAACCTTAATATAGCACTTACAGATGCTAATCTGTCTAAAGTCTTAGAACTTAGAGTGTTATCCAATGGTTATGAATATCTTCCAGGATCTCCACCCTTTGTGGTAATTTCCAAAATTTATCTTAAAGTTTTAACAACTTTAAATCCTTATATCAGAAAACAGTGCGAGTTAGGACATACAGCCCTGATAGACACCAACCTTTTCAGTAGCCATGTTGCAGTGCCAAAAATGATACCGTGGCAAGAAATAAAATTTCCAAATATACGACAGATAAACCAAGCTGTTCCAGCTCGGCCAATTGTCCGACAAACATTGGATGAAGTAATCCAGACACAAGGAGGAAATGTTTACCTTACCTTTAAAAGGCCACAAAGGTCTTTATCCGGAAGTATGTCTAGTACCAGTTATAGAACTGCTCCATCTTATAGAGTAGATTTACCTGAGTCTTCCAGACAATCGTTATCTGAACCAGCTGAGTTCGTCTTACAAGGAATGTCTTCAAGACCAACCTCCAGACCTCCAAGTGATACACAACAACCTGACCCTACAACTGACCCTATAGTTCAGGGAGTTCAATTTTCAGAGAATCAAATACCACATGGTATTTATGAATCCAAAAGGCCTTATAGCCCTACAACCAGTGATATGAATTTTGAAATCTAATGGATTTTACACTAGGACGTAAAATGAGAGAAGCCTTAAATCAGAATCTACAGAAAGAAAAATACAGAACATTTAGAGAATGGTATTTTAGTTACCATACCCCTCTCCAGTTAGAACAATGTAAAAACCAGTATTATGTTCATTTAGAACAATGTAAAAAATTATAGTCTTTTCCTTGGTGGTATGTTGAAAACATCACTCCACCAGAATCTCAGATTAAAGTCATTGAGAATATGCAGAAAACTTGGGTCACCACCGATGGTCAAGGTTTTACTTCTGTCCATCCACCAACCCAACCCCTGGAGTTACAAGCATTAAGCAGTAATACCAAACCTTTAGTCATTGCTGCTTATATGGAAATTCCACACAAATCACAAAATAGGGATCCTATTCTCATTCAGGATATGGTACCTATATTCAAACAACATAATTATACAAATCTTTTTTTCCAAAACAGCTGGTAAACAACTCACCAGAATTGAAGAAACTATTAATCATATTAAAAACAGTTGTCACTTACGGCCAAAATCTGAAGTTAAAACTGAAGTTATTCCAGTAACAATTAAACCTCCTTTAGAAGTAACTAAATTTAAGTTATCTACTACTAAGAAAGATACAGAATTCATGGATACTCTTGTTGATAAGATTAGAATTCTTAAAATTGGAGAATCTTCTTCTATTAATATGTTATCCAGACAGCATAATCTAAATGAAGAAAATTTAACACTTTCTAAAATTATAGAAATTGAAAATAATTTTCTGGAAAATCCAACCTTCATAAACAAAGTTCATTATGGAGAAACTTCCAGAAATTCTACTAGGACTACTCCAACGAGACATTATTACCCTAGAAGCACTCCTATGGATCTTCTTTATGAAGAAGATTTTTTACAAACACAGAAATCCTATCATGGAAAAACCATTTATGAATGGAATATAGATGGTCTTCCTGAATACCAGATATCTGAATTGTTGCATGAAATGATTATGTATTCAACAATTTGCAAACATAATGAAAATGATGATCATGAGATCGCCAGATTTCTGGTCAATGGTTTTACCGGCATCCTGATAGGATGGTGGGATAACATTATTACAAAAACACAACAAATAGAAACCTTAACAGCCTTTAAAAGAATTACAGATCCTTTAACAGGTACTGTTCAATCTGAACAGGACGCTGTTTATACTCTTATCAATACAATTCTACACCATTTTGTAGGAGCTTCTCCTGATGGTTTAGAAGATAAGAGTAGAGAACTTTTACAAAATTTAAGATATCTTTCTTTATGCCATTTTAGATGGTATAAAGATGTGTTCATGATGAGAGTTGTCAGAAGATCTGACGCTAACAACGAATGTTGGAAAGCCAAATTCATTGGTGGCTTTCCCACTCTCTTTGCTACAAGAATCAGAAAAAAATTGAGGGATAAGCATAGTAAAATGTCTATTCCATATTCAGAATATACTTACGGTCAACTCATAAGAATTGTTACCGAAGAAGGTCTTGCTCTTTGCAATGGTCTGAAAATACAGAATCAAATGAAAAAGCAAAGTCATAATGAATTAAGTGAATTTTGTGAACAATTTTCCTATGAAACTAAAATCCAATATCCATCCAAACATAAACATAAAAAATACAAAATAAAATAAATAATCAGTGTACAAGACACCTCCAAAATGAGCAAATAAAAAGCTGCAGAAAAAGCTTTAGAAAACTTATAAAATTGGAACCTCTGTATCGAGAAAAAATTCAATGAAACGGTTATACCATGTCATTGTCAGAAATATGCGAGTAGTATGGTATGTATGCATGACAACATGTACATTGTACACAATGGATTCAAAATTATTACCTGGGAAACTCCAAACACAAAGGCTTCAGACCCATGTATACTGATAAAGAGATGAATTTCTTGCAACGAGCAAGTTGGCCTGATATCAGACTTCCAGTGAGCCCTTCCACATTTACATTGCATCATGTATAATAGTCTGAAATACAGAAAAATTGGCAATGAGCAGACAAGTCCCATCAGAGCAGTAACACAGGAAAGGATGTAATCTGAAATACCTGCAATACCAGATTTAGTGTGGTCACGCTCTGATGGACTTGGGTACCAAGGTTAAAACTGATCCACAGGTGAACATCCAGGGCTTTGATCCAAAGGAATTAAAGCAATAAAATAGAAAGTAACTCAATCCTAAATTAAATGAAATACATAGTCAAAACAACCAAATAACACAAAGGCAACTTTTATGATCAATTAACAGAAGAATGGGAGAAACACTTTACAAGTCATCAATGAAACAGTAAAACACACAACTGGCTTTAGTCAATTTTGCCATCTATGTACTCAAAAACCAACCAGCTTTTGACAGGTCAAGTTCTAACACACCATTGAATGTGTTTGTTTGCATTTTGTGGTCACCTTAAGAGAAATACATAATGCAATCCGGTACTGAAGGACTCCACCAATCCTAACTTCATGACATTGGTAAATCTGCAATGCATTCTGTGTATCCTGTACTTCAGATCCATACCTAAAGGTGGATAAAAGAAAAAATAAGAAAGAAAAAGCAGGTTTTAGTAGTTGATCAACAACCTATGGAGCTTTTATATTAATAATCACGATATAATGTAATCATCCATCAATTATGCAGTATGGCACAATATAAGACATAACAAGAAGTATGAATCAGAGAAGGTTATCATACCAATTACTTGGCTGAAGAAATGCGCGTCAATGATGGCATCCAGCTGCTTGAAGCACCAACTCTATTCCCAAATACACGGCCAACATTTGAAGATTCAGTTGGCTCCTCTGGTCTTGGAAGATTTCTTATGTTCGGTTCTGTGATCGATTATGTGGAATTAGAATTATTCAAGTTTTAACAGTGAGTGACTGGAGAATTATAATGAAACATATGTTAAAGTTTGAAGATTTAATCAAACTGAAGTTTGGGAGAAAACTAGAGAGTGAAAAGTATAATATAATTTTCTCATATATACAAAGAAAGAAATAAGGAAAGAAAGATTAAGCATCACCAGAGAGAAAGAAATAAGGAAAGAAAGATTAAGCATCACCAGAGAGAAAGAAATAAGGAAAGAAAGATTAAGCATCACCAGAGAGAAAGAAATAAGGAAAGAAAGATTAAGCATCACCAGAGAGAAAGAAATAAGGAAAGAAAGATTAAGCATCACCAGAGAGAAAGAAATAAGGAAAGAAAGATTAAGCATCACCAGAGAGAAAGAAATAAGGAAAGAAAGATTAAGCATCACCAGAGAGAAAGAAATAAGGAAAGAAAGATTAAGCATCACCAGAGAGAAAGAAATAAGGAAAGAAAGATTAAGCATCACCAGAGAGAAAGAAATAAGGAAAGAAAGATTAAGCATCACCAGAGAGAAAGAAATAAGGAAAGAAAGATTAAGCATCACCAGAGAGAAAGAAATAAGGAAAGAAAGATTAAGCATCACCAGAGAGAAAGAAATAAGGAAAGAAAGATTAAGCATCACCAGAGAGAAAGAAATAAGGAAAGAAAGATTAAGCATCACCAGAGAGAAAGAAATAAGGAAAGAAAGATTAAGCATCACCAGAGAGAAAGAAATAAGGAAAGAAAGATTAAGCATCACCAGAGAGAAAGAAATAAGGAAAGAAAGATTAAGCATCACCAGAGAGAAAGAAATAAGGAAAGAAAGATTAAGCATCACCAGAGAGAAAGAAATAAGGAAAGAAAGATTAAGCATCACCAGAGAGAAAGAAATAAGGAAAGAAAGATTAAGCATCACCAGAGAGAAAGAAATAAGGAAAGAAAGATTAAGCATCACCAGAGAGAAAGAAATAAGGAAAGAAAGATTAAGCATCACCAGAGAGAAAGAAATAAGGAAAGAAAGATTAAGCATCACCAGAGAGAAAGAAATAAGGAAAGAAAGATTAATAGAGGTTACAACACAACAACATAAGGTATTTGCAATTTTTTGAAATCTATAGAAGTAACAAACACCAGAGAGAAAGGCTAAAGCCAAGAAGAGAACAAAATGAAACAAACAAACAGACTACCATAAACAGCATCCAAATCAAGCGAAAAAAAAAGAAAAAGGCAGTTTGGTGTTGCTTTCTAGTACAATCATAGGATCAATCGAAATTGGGTCATGATTCTGAATACGGATGTAGTTAGACTGACACCTATGTGATCTTTTAGAAATTCACATACAGATGTATAAGGAGTCGGGACTCACATTCTACTGGTTCCCTATAGTTAACGAGTGCATCTAAAGTCATCTAAATTTAGTTACCATATCAGTTGAATTGAAAAGAAAGACTGTACACAGTGCACAAGTCTCACGCATAAGTGTAGGAGTAGCAGTTAGGTCTGATTTCCCTGACCCATGCCACAACATATCAGTTTAATTATGTATTGTTAAATGCACATGAACAATTACAGATGAAGAGCAAGACAATGTGAAATAATAAATTGAAACATAACTGATTTCCCTGACCCATGCCACAACATATCAGTTTAATTATGTATTGTTAAATGCACATGAACAATTACAGATGAAGAGCAAGACAATGTGAAATAATAAATTGAAACATAACTGATTTCCCTGACCCATGCCACAACATATCAGTTTAATTATGTATTGTTAAATGCACATGAACAATTACAGATGAAGAGCAAGACAATGTGAAATAATAAATTGAAACATAACTGATTTCCCTGACCCATGCCACAACATATCAGTTTAATTATGTATTGTTAAATGCACATGAACAATTACAGATGAAGAGCAAGACAATGTGAAATAATAAATTGAAACATAACTGATTTCCCTGACCCATGCCACAACATATCAGTTTAATTATGTATTGTTAAATGCACATGAACAATTACAGATGAAGAGCAAGACAATGTGAAATAATAAATTGAAACATAACTGATTTCCCTGACCCATGCCACAACATATCAGTTTAATTATGTATTGTTAAATGCACATGAACAATTACAGATGAAGAGCAAGACAATGTGAAATAATAAATTGAAACATAACTGATTTCCCTGACCCATGCCACAACATATCAGTTTAATTATGTATTGTTAAATGCACATGAACAATTACAGATGAAGAGCAAGACAATGTGAAATAATAAATTGAAACATAACTGATTTCCCTGACCCATGCCACAACATATCAGTTTAATTATGTATTGTTAAATGCACATGAACAATTACAGATGAAGAGCAAGACAATGTGAAATAATAAATTGAAACATAACTGATTTCCCTGACCCATGCCACAACATATCAGTTTAATTATGTATTGTTAAATGCACATGAACAATTACAGATGAAGAGCAAGACAATGTGAAATAATAAATTGAAACATAACTGATTTCCCTGACCCATGCCACAACATATCAGTTTAATTATGTATTGTTAAATGCACATGAACAATTACAGATGAAGAGCAAGACAATGTGAAATAATAAATTGAAACATAACTGATTTCCCTGACCCATGCCACAACATATCAGTTTAATTATGTATTGTTAAATGCACATGAACAATTACAGATGAAGAGCAAGACAATGTGAAATAATAAATTGAAACATAACTGATTTCCCTGACCCATGCCACAACATATCAGTTTAATTATGTATTGTTAAATGCACATGAACAATTACAGATGAAGAGCAAGACAATGTGAAATAATAAATTGAAACATAACTGATTTCCCTGACCCATGCCACAACATATCAGTTTAATTATGTATTGTTAAATGCACATGAACAATTACAGATGAAGAGCAAGACAATGTGAAATAATAAATTGAAACATAACTGATTTCCCTGACCCATGCCACAACATATCAGTTTAATTATGTATTGTTAAATGCACATGAACAATTACAGATGAAGAGCAAGACAATGTGAAATAATAAATTGAAACATAACTAATTTCTTTTTCTTCTTTTAAATAGTAACAAACAAACCATTTCCCTAACATCCATACAGGTTCAAAAAGATAAAATTACCAACTCTGTTATCTTGCTGCATTAACATCAAAGAAATTAGAGGATCCACCTACTGTCTAATAATGCGTTTACTAAGTTAATCCAGCATTCCAAAAAAAAAAAAAAAAATTGATGATTTTTACTTGTCAATGTAAATTATACTATGGTCAATGACCAAAAATTATTGCTACAAAATAGAGGGGTAAAATTGGCAACCACAGGAATATAGAAAGATAGAATGCAATCATATGAGAAGGAATAAGAAACTAACCAACGCAGCAAGCTCGGTAGCTAAACATTTCCTTGCTCTCTCAACAAATTCGCGTGCTTCATCATACTGGAGATAAGAGTACCAGACTTTGATGAATAATTAATAAACCTAATTAGAAAAACTAACATAAAAATAGAATACCTTCATCTTGTGAACTAGTAGGACAGCCCTGAAAAATGTGCCATTACTACTTCCATCACCAGTAGCAGCAGTGTTTCCCAAAACCCGCAGTTTGGTTTCATCGCCATCATCCAGTCGAGAAACGTATTCTGCCATCTGATCCCACTCTCCCATGTTCCACGCAGCCCTAGCAGCCTGGAACAACCATGTCAGATGCTTAGAGTAATTCCAACAGCTTCCCTAAAGCTATTTTTTAGCCATTTTTAAGGAGTTTTGTTCCAAAAAAACCACTCTCCAACAACAGGCCATTTGGGTTTAGCCAAATGTAGCTAGCTTTCCATGTTCCCTAAATAATAATATAATATTATGTACAATATTTTGGTATTGTTAATTTTGGTTATTGATAGCCATTTGCTGACACATTTTGGTTGAAAAGCTCAATGCCCTCTGGACATCTAGCTCTCTTGTTAATGTGAGTTGTGCTATTTAAACATCAATTAACATGTAACTCTTGCATTGATGCCGTTTGTGTTCTACCGATTCAATTACTATTTGAAATAATTAATGATGTCCCCCCGCTTTGAATAAAAAAGGGTAAATATGCTTACTATATGTTGAGGTTGGATACTGCCATTACAATCAAATTATAAATTTTTATATTTGAGTTAGAAATTAATAAAAAATAATATTTCAAAAAAATAGAGAAAGAATAAGGAGTAGTGCTGGAGTAGCTTCATGAAAAAGTGATTCCCTAAAATAGGGAACTCACTTTTTAACTAAAATTTGGAGAAGGAATATCAAGCCTTGTTGGAGTTGCTCTTAGGTAAGAGTCTTAAGAATATATTTAACAGCCACCTAATGCCAAAAACAAACCAGTGGTGCCATTTCCAGTCGAGCAGCTGGCTCAGCAGGGGTCCAATATTCCTTGCATAGGTTGTTAAGCTCTTCCCAACGAGCCAATGCAGCAAGGCATCGCATACGTCCTGAAGAACACACAAAATGGAAAAAGTACAGCCATTAGCACAACAAATATAATACTAAATTTTTTTAAGTTTTTGGAACTACAGAATGATCTGCAACACACGCACACACAAACATGACCATACTCCTATGTTACGACACAGTGAAGAAGGTAAAGCAAGTGTGCATTCCTTCATGATCTGCCGTTTTAGAGGTCATTATG